CTCGGGCAAGTCAGGCCTTCCCATCCTCCTGCAGCAGCAGATCTCTGAGGAGCAAGCGCAAGCCCGCCAAGGCGTCCGCGGCCTGGCCCGTTGCGGGCCCTTTGTGTGCGCGGAAGGATGTGCGCTGAAGGAGCTGCGCGTGTGGTTGAAAAGCAAACGCACTAGGTAGGCCTCACATTGGCTGCTCCGGGACGTTCTCGGAGTATCGATGGGGTGTCGTTTTGGGTATCGTTCTGGGCGCGTGTAGTGTCACGAAAAAAATAAACTTGCTATAAGCTAGAGCCAAGCAAGCGCACAAGAGCCTTCTCTACCTTGCGGTAGTCATGTGATCAGCGGACTAGACTATGCTTCTGGCTCCCAAGCATTGGCGGCTTTGCTTGCTGGCTGCAACTTCCAGGTCGCAAGTCGCAACTTTCAGTCCCAGCGCAGTACGCAAGTTACACTTTGGCAGCTCCAGCTCGAAGGTCGCAGCGTGCGCCGGTGCCTGCGGGCGCCTGTGCGTGTGCGTGTGCGCGGGTGCGTTAGCGATCCATCTGGGTGGGCCCATCTCGTGCACACATGTGCCCACCATGCATTGCCGAGGAGCATTGACGGGAGCTGTCATGGCAACTTACAGCTTGGGGCAAAAAAAGGCTCACACAGTGCAAAATAGAAGCGCGAAGCGCCAGTTGCACGTCATGCGTCGTTATCGTTTTTGGGGCTTCGCTATATCGTTCCTGAGGAAAAATACAAAACAAGCAACGCGAAATCGCCGAAGACATATTTTATGACGAGAGAGTTTAGCCTTTTGCTCAAGTGGAAATGGGTCCTGATGGATCCGTCGAGCTCTATGACGCATTGACCTGCATCACACATGCCAGGAACTTCATTGGAAATAAGCCAGGACTTCTCTTGATGGCTATGTTCCCGAGCTATGGAAAATCACGTTTCGAAATTGCGTTCGTATTTCCATCCGTGGACGGGACATATAAGGAGCGCAAGGCACGGGGAGAAATTGTTCCAAGGAATCGATGGATCGATAAGCTCAACACCAGATCCGCACAAAATGCACTCAGGCCCGATGGCAAGGAATTCTATGTTGATTCAGAGATGGAGTTCTATGTGAGATGCAACAGCGGACACACACGACAAGTCGATATCCAATCCCTTGGACGACCCCTGTACTCTGAGCAGAAAGAGCCTCATTTGGACGAACCGGACTATGATCTCCCAACGGAATCCATTCCGCCAAGTCCGCATCCGTCAAGATCCGAGGCACCTCATGGAGATGAAGGCACAGCTCAGCCCAAGTACAGAATGCGAAGGCCGGCACCACCATCCATGGAAGAAGAGAGAAAGATCAAGCCGTTCTCGATCGAGAAGCCCATCACATTCATGTTCCATGCAACCTATGGAAATCAGCTCTACAGCATCATGGAGCACGGGCTCAAATCTGGGAAGTCCCAGTCAAACCCTTCGGGGAGAATGCACGTCCACATGAGTCAGAAGCCGCATTGACCCATGTGCCAGCAGGAAGAGATGCACTGTTGATCCTTGCATTTCTCAAGGACCACGACTATGGCATCCGCCTCTCCGAAGTGAGAACAGCGTTGACAGACAAAACCATCGAGGCAAGAAACATTGTTGCAGCATTTGAACCTGATGGCAGCCTCATGGCGAGCAACAAGTGTATCATGAAGAAACATCTCGATCATGAACATTACGAGATGTACGACACCCAGATCCGCGAATTCGCCGATGCCTTCTTCAGTTATGTGAATTCCACCAAGCACAACAAGGAAAAAGAAACTTCCTCAGAGACCAAGAAGAGACGGAATTCCACCGATCAGGACTCCACTGAAGGAGAAATGATGGAACCCTCCGGGGAAAGATCCGTCAAGCCGAAGGTCATCGTGGAATATCACAATTCAGAGAACCTAGATGAGTTCATCCAAGAACTCAAGGAAATCGATCTCGAAACAGATATGAACAAAAAGGACGCAGAGGAAGAGCTCGCGGGGACCAGGGGGAACCTCACCCGCTTCATGAACCAGTTCAACAAAGATCCAAGAAGAGCTCATCCCAACTTGACAGAGTGCGAGAGAGCCTCATTGGCACATGTCGATCCTGATGTCAATCTCGGTGAAGAAGAATTCTACTTCCCTCATCGAGGAGAATGTCCCACCGTTGACGAGTACAAGCAAGCTCAACCAGGATCCGGATATCCGATCAAGCTTCCGCTTGGATTGAAAAAGCTCAGGTCACATGATGACCCGAAAATCATCCGAGCCTATGCCGATATCCTGGGATCGCTGATGCAGCCGACTGACCGTCCTCCCGTGGACGATCTCAACATGCATGAGTTCACCTCATCCATAGCGATCAACATGCTTACCCTGAACCATGGAAACCTCACAAGGAATCCAAAGCTGGACAACAGGGAGGTGCACAACATGCCGATGAAGGATCGACCGATCGTCAAGATGATGATGCAGAACAGTGCACACATCTTATGCCTGAATGAAGCAGACGCATTCTTCAGTCCGAATGATGAGAAATCCAGGGAGCTCATCGTTCATCCGATACGGTTACAAGGGCATCGTGATCAAGCAATGGTCATCCAGACCGATCGCATGCTTTGTCCGCGGCGGACCCTCTGCACGAGTGGAACTTCTGGCAAGACACATTTCCACCAGGAGCCAAAATTGGGGAACCACATTCGGAATGTTCAGATGATTCTTCGGAACTAAAGGAGATTGCACTGATCCCGAATACGAAATTCCGACCTCGGATTGCTTGGCAACCACAGGAACATCCATGTTTACTGAACCCAAGAAGTACATTGGATCGAGATTGCCAGCACGCACCATTGTCCAAGGACATGGCCGAGACAAGGAGATCGTCGTTCTCCACATCGAGCAGAGTGATGAGCTTCGTGGCATGATCCCGAAATCATCCGACAAGTCATTCCACGAGTATGACGACCGCCACATAACGAGGGCAGATCTACCATTCGCAACCATTGGAGTCTTCCACATCCATCCTTCACTTAGCCATGGAGCAGCAAAGGAAGATCTTCAGAATGAAATCATGCCGCTCGTGACCTTGTACCGATGCGACGCGATCACCGAAAACGCCAACAAATCAGCGAACACCTACAGCAAACTCCAGCACGTCTACAATCCGACCAACGGTCTCGTGAACATCCTCATGAGGACATATCAGAGACTGTGGAATGCAACGAAGAATTTGCCACTCGTGGACAGAATGGAGTATGCAATGGAGACTTCGTGCCCCCTGAAATCCATTGTCCGTCATCACCTGTACATGAAATGCGGATCAGGATTTGATCGAACATTCCCAGATGTGATGATGACTATCGTATTTGGATGGGGCAAAACGAACATCCAGCAGGATTTCCGGAAGGACGAGATGAACGGTATGGATGATGAACAACTGGAACTCATGCGGAACCATCCAACCAAGGCCATATTCGATTACCAGGTCTCATCCGCAGAGCGCTACAAGCACGTGAACAATGAAATGTTCATGAATGGCTCGCAGGACTCCGACTCCCACAGTCCTCTCATGGTTTACATCCGCAGCAAATCTGCAACCAGTAAACGCAGCTCTGAGAGATACCAGGATTACATCAAGAAGAAGCAATCATCCTGGACCACGCAGGAGTACAAGGACTACAACAAGCAGTGGGGACATCAGAAGCAGTGGAAGAACTATAGCACTTCTACCTGGAATGATTATGGGGACCATGGCAGTCAATCCGACAGCAGCCGCCGATGGTATCGTCGATCCGACTGACCATGAAGATACGTTCAGCACCACGAACAATCCAGATGATTGATCCTCGTCGTCTACAAGACTATACCATGAGTGAGAGATCAATAGTTCCACAATCGTTCCGCGTGTACATAGCGTTGTACATCACCCTTTGATACATTTAGGTATCCAAAAGAAGCAGTACATAGTGTTTCCTATTTCGAAGGCCAAGACATTTCATCCAAGCAGAAAAAGGATGAATCCGGCACTTTTAATCACATGGCTACGGCACACATCAAGGCTACGGTCAAAGACCATGAAGCCAATAGTATTTCATACTTTGTGCTGGAGATCAAAAGAAATTTGTGTCTGTTTTGTGTTCTGTTTTTCAGACCATTGATCTCCCGCAACATTTGGCTCAAGGCCCCTTTTGCAGAATCACGACCATCCGAGCGTGAAGACAAAAGAGCCATTGCAGGCCGCTTACAGGATTATCCACAAGACAATCCACCAGGGACAATCCATCCTCCAATCATCCATTACTGGCATGTTGGACTCTCTCCGGAATAGATCCAGGGACCAACAACGACCTCAACTACCACAGGGTTCCAGTTCCCTCCGGGGATAAGCACCTGGGGCAGTGGGCCTCACCCCCCCCCCCCCGGCCCGAGACCCCGAGCCCCCGGATCCTGGCACCTACAGTCCCACCCCACCCCGACTCCCTGAACTCGCACCCCACACCCCGGCACCCCCACCCGCAGGACAAGCCAACCATAAACCAACCCTAAACCAACCCTAAATACACCCTAAACCAAACCCTAAACCGTACACCTCTAAACCTAAACCAACCCTAAACTAACCCTAAATACACCCCAAATATACCCTAAACCAATTCTAAACCAACCCTAAACCACCACAACCCAACCACAGGACCACAACCAGGGGGGGGGGGGTACTTGTCTGACCCATGACCATTGGGGGGGAGGGGGGGGGGGGCTGGCAACGCTGTACCATATATACATATATACAGATATTGTTTAAACAATTATATTATAATCTATATAATATATATATTATGTTTTTGTTGTAAATACTCGCCTTCGATATTGATGGTTATTGTGTTTTTTACGACTCTGACTATCGATCATCATTACTATTGTTACCTCTTTTTCTCCTTTTTTGTTGGGCTGGGAAACGGTTTGCGGTTTCCCCCGTTCCACGTTCCTCGTTCCGCGCCCAGGCGCTGCCCGCCAGGAGTGTGGCCTTGGGGCTCCAGAGCGCTTGCTCCGCGCAGCGCTGCACGGAAGCACAGGTCCAGGCGTTCCTGCGCGGCGAGTGCCGTGCTTGTTCCCTTTAAAGCAGCCCATGCGGGCCACCCTGGTGCAGACTTGTCGGCCAAAAGGATCATAGAAAACCACACGGAAGGTGAGGGTGCTTTTTTCCCCCTTAAAGCAGCAACCCTGCCAAAAGGATCTCCCCCTAAATGGGCCAATGGGCCAAAAAGGTGAGGTTGTGTCCCTTCAAAGCAGCACCCCTGCCAAAAGAATAGGCAACAATCTTGTTGAGGCGTGTCTTTTTGGGGGGCAACAATCTTGTCGGGGCGTTCCTGAGCAGTGGGGTGTTTCGTGTGTCTTTTCCCTTTAAAGCAGCACCCCGTTCGGGCCACCTCAATCGCCACCATGCTGTCCATGAAAGGTCCCCTAATCAAAATTCACACCAACAGGTGTGTGTGTGTGTGTATACCGTGCCGAAAGAATCTCCCAGCAAATGCCCATGTTGGGATGCCCCTAGATGCCAGATCTTGCATCAAATCGCCAAAAACTGGTCAAAGCCTAGGGAAAATATAAAACCAAACGGAAGGTTACAAAGCTAAGTTTGGCCATGTTCGCAGGGGTTAACCTTTTAGCCATGTTGCGCCCAACCAAAATGTGCATGTTTGATTCTAGTCCCCCTGTTTAGTGAACCTTGAAAGGTAAATCAAATCAAACGGAATCCCCAAAATGGGTTCGAACCCCAAGATGGGTGGTTTTCCGTTGGTGTCCATGAAGAACATCATCTCCAAAACCTGGCTACCGAGCAAAACGTGGCCGGAGCAGAAACCATGTGTGTGCGTGTAAAAATAGTCCCTTTGAACCACCCCAAAACGGCTACCCACCAAACCTGCCGCAATGTGGAGTTGTGGATATACGGACGAAAGAGTTCAATGATTCAACCTATCTTCTGCAGAACATGGAATCCATGTTCGGGATTCCCCCCCAGGAAACTTTCTCCAAAGCTCCTTGTTTTTTGAGTGTTAAGGTCCACCAAAGCGCGCCCAATCAAAATTCATACCCAAATAAGGGAATCACCCACAGAAGCATCCCCCTGTGGAGAACCGGCCAGCTGAAGCGATGAGGGCGGAAACGCGCCCAGATCCCAGCTGAGACGCTTCCTGAAGGTTTTGGAGGGTAGTTTTGTCGGAAGGGTTGCCTGACTTGAGTTCGGAAAAATCCGCTGAATTGTTGCAACTTGTCCGGTGTCATGCGACCCGAAGGGTCGAATCGCGTGACCCTGTTTTACTCTTCTGCGGCTTTGGCCAGTTCCAACCCTTTAGTCCATTCTTGAGACGTCCCCTTTCTTTGCGGTTTCGAAATAAACAACCAAAAGGAACATCGCCATTTTCGCGGATCCCCCTTTAAACAAATAAATAAGACAAGCCCGTGTTCTATCGAAAGTCCTCCAGTAGAGAGGTTAGAATAAGGGTACCAACTTCCTTATTTTTGGTCTATTTTAGTAGGGGAACCCTCCCAAAGAAGTTAAGAAGTTGGTAAAAGGGCACCTAGCTGGGGGACCTATCGAAAGTCCGGGTCACCTTCCAAAGTTCCGGCACTCCCGGCGCAGGCGCCGCTGCAGCTGCGGCACCCACTCCGCACCGAAGATGCCCTCGAGCGACTCGAGGGCTTGCGGGTTTGCCGTGTGACCGGTTGGGTGTTTTTGGTGCGTTGGGAAGCCAAAGGGAAAACAAAACGTGACTTTTTAGGGCTTCTCCCGATTTTAAGGGGTTGGCCATAAAAGAAAAAACATATTTTGTTGGGGCTTCCCCCTATTTTAAGGCCTGTTTGGACAATGTTGACACTGGATTCATCAAGCCCGGTTGATTTATATGCTTGTGGCCCCTCCAGAAGTGGTCCGATTCCTCACTAAACCCAGGGACTCCCTCCCTATTAATCAACAGGGGCTTATTCATCTGGGGTCAACACTCTAGGTCCAGGTGACAAGATGTGGTCACCCCCCAAGTGGTTGGCCCAGGCTAACAAAACCGCTGAGGAATCATGACACTGTTGAGGGGGATGACAATGATGCCACCAAGAACCCGCACACCCACAACGACCGACAGCCAGCTCAATTACGTATAGGAGGCCGCTCAAACACCAACACCCCATGAATCGCACAGGCTCAACTCAAAGCGCTAAGCCCGAAAGCACTCAATGTCAAGCCAAGCAGTGAGGGAAACCGAGGGAACACGGCCGTCATTTGCCTGAGCTAACAAAAGTGGATCTCTGGTGCCTGCTGCGCAGCTTTTTTTTGTTTCTTTCTCTTTTTGATCATCCTGCACTAGACTCAGTAGATGCAAATGGGAGGGGGAAGGAGTGAGGTGTCAATCAATTGGCTGTTCTTGTGTTCAACTCGGTTGGAGTACCACGGGCAATGCTTTCTCAATCGAGTCCAGTTCTCCCACTGCTCATGTAGCTCAGGTTTGGCGCGGGCGTTTGTTCAGTCTCATCAGTCCTGATATCTCGGGCTGTCCAGGCTTCCTTGTGTCAGGTTGCCCAGCACGGTCAGTGGCCTTCTTGAAACCTCCTGTTGCCCGTTGGTCTCATTTAGCGGCATGGTTTTGGCTTTGCGCCGCCTACTTCGCAATTGACAACCAGACCCGCCCATACCCCCTTCTGGCTGGGTCTTCTTTTCGAGTGGACCGCACCTTGTTTACTTATCAAGATCTTCCGGCGCTGGAAAGCATGAGAACAAAACCAACCTCCATCTGGGTATTTCCTACAAGATCACCACAAATTCCTGCCAAAAAGGAAACACCGGGTAGGAAACCTTCAGCAGGTCTCAAATGTTGCCTTTTGATGCGACACAAAAGGGTGTCTCTCAAATTGGGGCCCCCAAAATGATTGTTTTTCCTGTTGGCTTCCGTTGAAAAGCAACCAAAAGGGGGTATCCTCGAACAAGACAGACCCAAATTCATTCGCCCAGACCTGACCCCACGAGTTTCGGAGCGAGATCTGCGCGCCTCCGTGTGGCTATCGCCGAAACAGCCCACCTCGGGAACCCACACTCCCTCGAAGTCACTCTGATTTGCTAGAAAACGGTGTTGCGTTGGTCGTAAGCTTCTTCTAGTTGCGACTCTTTCACTGATCGGTTGGTGCTCTTTTAACATCCAGGGGTCGAGCCACAACAGGGGCATCCAAACTGCACTCAGTGTTCTAAAAGAAACGCCTGGGCCCAGCGACAGTCGAACCCGGGTTTCCAAGCTAAGATCTATCTACTGGTTTCAGCGAAACTGCACCGCTTTTGTCCGAGGTTGAGGGCCCTTGCAACAAATCCCCAAAAAGCGGGCCATTGAGCTTCCTTTCGCTTGACCACAAATCCAGAGCCCCAGTCTTCAAATTGCAGCATGTATGTACACGGGTCCCTGACTGTTTTGCAGTAGGCAACATTTGGGAGAGGGCAGCAATACTGCATACCGACAGGAACTGGGTTTCTGTATTGGAACAAGATTTGTTTCACGGATTAGCAGCCATGCGACTTGACGCTTAGCCATGTTGAGCCGATGGTGTGTGTGTCTCCCCCGCTTGCCTCTTTCAGGGTGCGCGGTCGGTTGGTAGCCTTGGCTCTTGGATGTGAATAACTCAAACGAGGGACAAACATCAACACCTCCAAGACCATAGCATAGGTGTCCTTTTGGACGAATAGATGGCACGTGTAAATGATTAGAACAAAGGGACGGACCAGTGCCATATATGTTCAAAGAAACTAAGCAAAAGAACACCAATGGACCATAGTGTCAAAACACATCTCCAAACCATAGTCTCACTTCCTGAACTTAGAAATGTCCGACATGGGGTGTCTCCAAATAGGGAAACCCTGAAAATGGCCCCAAAATGTATTTTGCTTTACTCCCAAACCGAAAGGAAACGGAACACATCCAGGGTATCTCCATTTTGATCCCATTCGAGTAACGAACACAAGTCATAACGAGCTGCACATGCCGAGATACCGTCCAGCCGCGCGCGCCTGTTGCGTGCTCGAACCAAGCTCGGGTGGTCGAACTGGCTGGTGCTCAGGGAATGAGGGAATGAGGGAATGAAGTCAAAAATTGGTCCCCTCAAGGGAAACCACAGGGGATGGCATATAGGGGTCATTCCCTCATTCCCTGAGCACCAGCAAGTTAACTTGGTGGACAACACAAAGCACAAGAAGCTGTCCAAACAAGCAAAGCCAAAAAGGAGCCACGCATGGTCAAACCAACGAGCAACCAAGAAGCCGAGCTTTCTCAAGCTTGTTCCCCATAGTTCAGTACTGGGTTGGTCATACTGCCCGCCTTTCAACAAGCTGCTCGCTGCTAAGGGGGGGCCTGGTTTGGGCCTCTTTGGCCTCCTAGATCCGCGAGATCAGATTTGTGCCCCGTGTTTGATCTATTTCGAGTGAAGGATCTGGTTAACATTTTATATATTTGTTCAACGCTTCATCGTGACTGTCGTTTGACCGGAATGATCATAGAATCGATTGGGGGGACGATATTGGATCAACCTCCCAATTTCAACAGGGGGTTCTTGGTTCATGGTCACTATTGGTTCGATACATCTGGACACTTTTATTCACTTAAAAACAAACAATCCCGACGTAAGAAACCTTCATCATGGGCCAACCCTTCTGATCCCCTGTTGAGCTCGTCCCAGCTCTCTCTTTGATATCCATGTTGATTTGCAGAGAGCCAGAACGGGCAAGGAAATTCTCAAAGGAGAACCTTTGCGTAGCAGGTCGTCCAATACAGCGTTTGAAAGCTCATAATTTCCATGCCTGGAGTCTCATGACGGTTCACGAATTGCATCTGTTTCCCCCAAACTATGGGTACATTGCCCCGGTGCCAAAGGGTCAGCTTGAGACTTTTGTTTGCTGCAGAAAGGTCTGCTTACTTGCTCCTGGGCAGGGTCAGCAAGCCCAAGTAGTTCGGCCAACTGCCCAGTTGAAGTCTGCCCCATGCCCCGCCAGGGTTCCGACCTTAGCAAGCTGCAAACCCTGCAATCGTATAATACCCACAGTCGCGTGCCATGCGGGTCCGATCTCAGGCCCGCTGTTTTGATCCGCAAACAGATCCTTCAATCGATCGATACATATACTTGACACTGGGTGGTGGATCGATCCGTTTTTTTTCAAAGTGGTCAACACATTCCTCCAGAAGTGGATTGAACTCTTTGAAGCTAAGCAAGAGCATGGATTCTTCCAGGGGACAACAAACATGGTATTCCTGTTGTGTTTTGCCTTTGGACGGACCACAAAAGCGCAGCCTCAAACCAAACCCGGCAGCGGTCTAACTCCACCCCCCCCCCCTCCTGAGGTCCCGCCAGCCGCAAGCAGGCCCAGCCAGAGCGCTCGCATCCGCGGCTTCATTGAGGCAGCTTGGTGTTGTCGTTGGCTGGGGATACTCACTTGGCCAGTGACCAGCCAAAAAAGAAAGTACACTGTTTGGGCCACCACTAAAACAAAGGGAGAGCCACCAAGGAAAAAAGTGTAAAGTGTGTCCACCGGCTGGGTGAGGATAGGGGTGGGCAAGAGGTGGGCAAACCTCTTGCCCCACCCAGTGTTCAACAATTCAAGGGGTTACTTGGTGAAAGAACTGGCGGGGACAGCGTTCATTGTGTTGACTCTAGGTCTAGGGGCTTTCATAATCCGAAAGTTTATCCGACTTGGGGTGACTTGGATGGCCACAAACCTGCGGGTAAGTCCCCAGCGACTAGCCTGGAGCCGATCCATTGGATGTTCCAGGTAGCTTCCAGCGAGGTTCCCTGGGTTTGGTGACATTCATGGCCCTGTTTGGGCGGTGGTGATCACCTATAGGAAAGGCCAGCTGGTGTATACATATAATATGTCCCCTTCCAACCTCACCACTTACATATATATATATATATATGTACACATTGTGTATATATATATTATTATGTATATGCATGTACGGTTGGTGAGTGTCCATTGGCTTGGTTGAAAGAAAAGCATATTTCACAAGGAACTGGAACCCTGGGGGAAAATGGACCGAATATCAGAGAGGAATGAGGATATGGGCAGGTCAGACATGCCAAGATTGCTAGGACCCAAACGAGGCCTTGTTTTTGACACCCCTTCCACCTGGTGCCTGTGAAGTTGGGTGTCGCAAACGCACAGCTCCAAAGGCTTGGTCACATGGCCTGCGTTTAAAAAGAGTTCCGTGTCCACTTGGTAGACTGTGCATAAACTGTTTACCCGTCATGGCACTTTCTCTTCACACCAAGGAAACATAGTGCAGCTGGGATACTTCTTTTCTGGTTTGGCACTAAAGTAGTCTTCCCACAATGTAAGTGCAGCACCTGAAACTGGGGCAGTGAGGGTAAACAGACACGCACACACACATCTTCAGCAACATGGACGATATGGCAAGGCCATCGCTGCGCTTTGTGCGCCGCCCTGTTTGAGCCATCAATCAAGATCTAGCCATGGTTGAACGGCATGTCTGGAATCAACAGAATAACGCCAGACTTGGCTGCAGGCTAATGCTCAAACAACAGTGTGGTCTACTTTCAAGGGAGACCCAAAGGAGGTTGTTGAAACAGGAACGATTTGCATAGGCGTCCTTTTGGACAAATAGATGGCACTGGTGGGCTGAACATCGAACCTGAATTGACCTAAACAGAACTGGAACACCTGGTGATTTTACTGCCCTGCCAAATGTGAACCCTAAAAGTGGGGAGTACAGTAGCGAGCTCAGTTTGTCCCCAAGTGAGCTTGCCATAGAATGGGCAATATCATATTTCTTGGCCTACATCTGGGGTACACAGTCCACCCCAAAATGTCAACATTTTGGAGGAGTACCCGGTTTGAACAAGTGAGCCCCTCGACTTTTCGACCCCAGACTCAAAGAGGATCTTGATTCAATCTGCGTGGCCTTTTGCTTGTTGCAAAAGCTCAGTTGCAACCCTTAGGGACCCAGAAAAGAAGGTGATCGCCTTTTGGGAGCAGGACCAAACTGGGCTGCCCCCAGATTCCCTGCTAAAAGTGAATAACTTCTAGTGGGTGAAATGGAACCCCCCACTAAACACTAAAAGGCTGAAAAGCTAAGGGGATGGCTGGGAGCCACCAAGTTAAATATGGGCCAAATTGGGAAAATCAAAAGGTTTTCCAGGTCGATTCGCTTTGAATAACTGAGAAAAGGAACCTCTGCTTTTTCGTGGCCTGGCAAGGAGCTCCTGTATTCCCTTTTCAGCATCGCCAATTTGAGGAAACCCAATGAAGGGTGTGAATGTTGATTGGGGACCCTGTGGTGGATGCCCATTAATCACTTGATTCACTCATAGCAATATGTAATAAAGGGACTCCTTCTCCTAAGTTTGCGAATCGCACGGATTGCAGCCTGCCTGCAGAACCAGCCCTTTGTCCTCCTTCAACTTCTCGTCCTCAGAGGAATCGATGGTCCAATCGATGGGGGCGCAGCGCGGGGCAGCCGAAACCCATGAGGAAGAAAGCAAAGTGCCTGGAGTCTCCATGACCCTTAAAAAATGGGGGCATTACTCACAATTCAGGGGTCATGAACCCATTTTTTAAGGGTCATGAAGACTCTAGGTGGAAAGAAAGAAAGACAAAGATCTACAACATGTCCGCATCGTTTGGTGGTTGTGGAATAAAACACAACATAAAGCGGACAAGGAACAAACAAATGATAACATAAGCAAAGAGTGACATAAATGAATGAATCAGGAAGTAAAGACAGAAGGAAAAAAAGAGTGGAACGAAGAAAAGACAGGACATGACAAAACACCGGACATAAAGCTGGGAACAAGCTGGGAAGAAAACCGGGGGGGGGGGGGAAACGAAAGACAGAACGCAGTACATGAAGAACGAAACACACTTTAATGTGCAACAGGGCATTCCGACTCATTTTTAATGGCCGCTGGTGCAAAAACTGTTCGAAGGTGCACCGAACAGCGAGGGCTAGGTTCAAATCCTTTGAGCTGTCGGACTCTACGGAAACCCTCCCACTTTCAGTCACTCGGTCTAAGGAAAACACATGGGAACCGCACAAGGCATGTGCTGGCCAGCGGCAACTGCACAGTTGCGCACAATGCGCATAGGACTTGATGAAAGGCTGCAAATCCCTGCTCTCAACCCACCAAGAGATGCACGACGGCTGAAAGCTTCTTTTCTTTTTCTCCTGATCTCACGGCAGGATACATATATATATATACATGTAGACATATGTTGCATGGTGTATGATTTCACAATGTAACATATCCCTCAGAGCATGTATAGATTGTGCGTGTGTGTGAAACTACCTCATGAAAAAAAGGCTGTGACAGTATATCATGCTGCCATATCTGTTTGTTTTCTTAAAAAACAAAAAAACTCAGGTACCACCAGGAGCTCCCGGGTGTTTCAGCATTCTAGACTTCCCAACACGAGCCCTCCTTCGTGATGGAACTGATAGAAATTCTGGGTTCAAACCCTGTGACGGTTTCCCTTGCGGGAAGCAACTTGGGGTCTGAAATCCAGGGTATGCCTGTGTCTTCATTTCGGCCCACTAGCTGAACCCCTCAGAGGCACCCAGTTTAGACCTTACCTGCGCAATTGTAGCATGCGAATGAAGACATAGTACAAATCATGCAGCGTACACGATAAGTATAATTTTATTGCAGCCTATCATACAAAACCCAAGAGCGCCCACGGGTACACAAAGGCTGAACTAGTCGTCCAAAAGGGCTAGAACTTCCATGGTGACACCTCAGACAAAATGTGCAATCGCTCCAATAAAGTTCAAAGTTCGGTGTCTTCCCATTTGGAATTTGACCAAATTTGTCTACCGAATCCAGCAATCATTCGGTCCTAGCGGCTCCTAGCGATCTATGCATGCACCTGCCGTCCCACGGACGTCTAGAAATGACAAATTTCCTAAGACCTTTCTGGGTAAGCACCTCTTAGCCCCAAATCGGTTTGTCACTATTATGCATTTTCATTCAGCACAGGCCTCAGACCCTCTGGAGCATCCTGCAAAGCCATTCGAAAAAGCCGATCTGATATCAGATGGTACCCTTCCAAAACCAATCCAAACGGTTCCGGCACCTTTATGCCCGCTTTGGTGCCCATTCTAAGGGAAGCCCCTGCCTTTTTTTCGGGGGGGGGGCCGGTTGCCAAGGCACTGCAAACAGCAGGGCCGAGCCGTCCTGAGCCATTGGCTGGCCCCAGTTGGGGAGAGAACGCCCCTGGCCTGGGGTACTCCAAACAGCCCTGAAACTGAGGCCTTGCTGAGGCCGGGAGATACTGTACATTGATGGGGGGGGGAGGTCCTCAGGCATACAGCTTGTGCCAGCTTCATGCAAAGAGCCCCCTTTTTTTCTCGAAATGATGCCCTTTGTCCAAGGCTGAATGTATCAATCCATACTTTGAACCCTGGTCTTAATCCCCAAGTTGATTGGTAGGACATGGGGAGGGTGGTCAAGCAAAATTGGCGAGGGGACTCATGTTGGCCGCGTTTTTCCTCAAAGAATCGCTAGAAAGGGCTTGCTATTCGCATCCACCATCACGGCGATGGCGATGTCTTCCCAGCATTGCGAAGTGCTGTTCTAGGAGTGATTCCCTACTCTCTGCAGTTGTGAACCCAAACATGCCAAGCATATTTAAAATTCTAAGTCGAAGTTATCCATCAAGAGTTGTTCTATTGCCCATGATCTTGCGGCGCCTTTGGCGTCATACTCAGCCTTAGATCTGTTGAGGTTTGGCCGGTGCTATTCCTTCCGATTCACTTGTATGTGTCGTAACCAACTGCCGGTATCAACGGAAAACAGCGGCAACCTGTATTCATGGTTTACATTTGATTTCCCAACAACCTGTATCGGGTGCCAGCACCAGAAAAGACTAGTGTGCTCGTTTGCTCATCGCTAAGGAACGTGACTGCAAAGTCCCGTTTCGGTACCCGAAAGGTGGACGACTGGCCCAGGGACTGCCCCAAATGTCATTTACCCGTGGCCCCTTTTGGTGTCAACTCACTTGAGTGGATTGGCCCGATGCTGAAACACAGCTGTGCGAAAGCATGAGAACTGGGTCTTCGAGCCCCATTTCGCAACAGCTTTTTGGCTGGTTGGAAAATAGCTTCCCCCAAAAGTGAAAGCTCGAACCAAAGGGCATAGCCCAACCCCCCCCCCCTCCGCCCCCCCCTCCCCTGCGTGGCCTGCTTGACGGCTTCCAACACCACCGACCTGTCTGCTCCTGCAATTTCGAGGCCGCATTCTCGAATCGGAGGAGCTTTCGAATTGAATTGCGGGCCTTGACCCAATCCTTGGTGAGATGTCTCTTAAAAGGATAATACGCATGCGCCAAGAGCACATTATCTTTCGCTTCATCCGAATCGGCCTGTTCGAATTGCGAATCGGCCGCGCTTCATGGTCCTCTTTAAAGGAAACCTGGTAAGTTGAATCTCTTGGC